TTGTGTGTGTGAAGTTTGAACTTGATCAATCCAGACATGTCTCGGATACGGATCCAGAACTGAATTCTTTAAAACAAAATGGCCGCCAGTCGGCCATTTCGAACTTGATCCGGAAAAAAAAATGACGTGCATCAAGGTCCTATTATGTTTAATGTATGTACCAAATTTGAATGAAATCCGTCCATGCATAACCCGGCCTTAAAATGGCCGCTATTCGGCTATCGTTAATCAGATCATGAAAAAAATGCATGTGCATATGTCCCATATAATGTGTGATGTATGAGTGAAGTTTGAACTTAATCGGTCCATGCATGTTCGAGATACAGGTGATCACGGACGGACGGACGCACACAGGGCAAAACATACAGTGTAAGTCCCCGTTTTCGGACTGCGTCCGAACGGGGACTAAAAACACTACCACTAAAAGTCAACTCAGCTGTCATTCTGGATTATTCAAATTCAAGTTTTGTTTTCTTGCGAAATTTGCGAAATTAGGTAACTTGTCACTAGTAATACTTATTGAAAACATTAGGCGCAATTTTGAGCAATAGTACTAGAGTGAAATATCAACGTGCCTTTTCTTTCTCCATGAATTCCATAACTCGGATCACATTAAAGATTAAACCTGTGCTTACTTTCAACAGTTTGCTGGAGTCTGATCAAAAACATGTCTCAAAATACATTTTTACGATTATTTTTTCATGTATGCTATTTGAATACATTTTGTTTTTCATTGCTCATGAATATTAATTTATGCAAAAGAGACAATTATTTCAACCAATCGTGTCATGCACCCCCCTCCCCCAAGTCATGTATGGCACAGTCCCATGATTTACATTTCAGTGTAATTGAAAATTACATTACACATGTGCAAGATCTCATTCCAGACATCTGAGAGTGTTCTATTTAGCTCCATGCTGCAATCAAGTGATGACCATATATTTGAGATCCAAGTCACGCAAGTAGGAATGGTGGCAAGCAGTAATGGCAGATTTTTAATTTTTGGCTACTGCTCTGTTCTATGATTACATTTTGCTATGCAAGTCTCAATAAAATATATTTCTGCTTCTGTTTGACATGTTTCAATCACTATTTTCGGACGTAAAAAATATTTTAAAGTCTGCTATTTGCTCTTTAAATTTCATGATTTTTAGTGAGTAAGAAAGTAAATAACTTTATTGATTTCGTATCCTTATTGGGATCTTGAAAATAATACAATAAAGAATGTTGTTTAAATAAACAACAGCTAGCTAAAAAAGTAACAAAATAAAATTAAAGCTGCAAGCAGCATCACAGGGGCCCAAGTATACATGCCATAAATAATGTCAAATGATACACATGATACACAATTAGTTTGAATGATTAGTACCATGAGGTCGAAATGCAGTTGGTTCCATATATTTATTTGAGATATAAAGGTTATTAATATATGGTCATCTGTTATTTTAATCAAATCTCTTGTTCAACATCATGATAACACAGGATTCATCTTTCTAACTGCAACAGTGTTTGAGATACAACGATTATGCATATTAATGAGCTCACATGACCATATATGGTCATCTGTTATTTTATTCAAATCTCTTGTTTAACATCATAATAACACAGGTTTCATCTTCCTACCTGCAACAGTGCTTGAGATATAACAGTTATGCATATTAATGAGTTCACATGACCATATATGGTCATATGTTATTTTAATCAAATCTAAGGTTCACTGTTGTCATAACACAGGAATCATCTTCCTAACTGCAACAGTGCTTGAGATATAACAGTTATGCATATTAATGAGTTCACATGACCATATATGGTCATA